TTAAACAAATAACATAATATTATATATTTTTAACTAATTTTTAAATAATATAATTTTAAAATTACAAAAATAAAATTAAACCAAATAAAAATTAATTTAATTCAAATCAACTAAATCAAACTAAACTCACCACGAATTCTCCTAATTCATTGACCGATTGATCCAAGGCCACCAAAGTATTGCACTTGTCCCATTCTGCGAATTGCATATTTCCAACTTCAGGCTTCAGAAGGGTCTCATCCCATCGTCGAAGCAAAGCTTATTCTTGCGTTTTAGTGCCATTGTCATGGTTTCAAGTTTCAACCATCATTGATGATCCATATAACATACAGTGATTTAGCTACCATGCAGACAGGGTTCTCATTTGCATGCATGCATGAAAATAATAAGGACCGGTAGGATCAAGAATGGAATAAGGGTTCGCCATTTTTGCTTGAATCAATCAACTTCAAGAATCAACAAAGAATGACATCAAGAATCAATGATGAACGACTTCAAGAAAACAATTATCCAACAAGTTCAAAGATCAATGACCCATCATCAGAAAATGTTCTGCAAAAGCTCCCTAGGAAAGGGGCTTGGGTACCATATTAAAAAGGAAAATAAATGAACAAAAAGATTTTTATTAGTAAAGATTTCGAACTGTTATTACAATAAAAACATATAACCTGTATAAAAGAACCTTTGATAAACCAATTGAATTAACCGTCTAATTGATCGTAAAACATTGTTACAAGTGAGCTTGTATAAAAGAACCTTTGATAACCCAATGCATTATTGACACAAAATCAAATTCTACGTTAACTCCATGCTTGCCTTTAGGTTAGGATAAGAATCACAATAATCAGTACCACAATGAATCCATAATCAACATTGGCTTTCACTCTCACCACGGCACTCTCTTTAGAAAACCCAAATCTTCGAGGAGCAACGTATTTAGCAATCTGCAATTTCCCATAAGATATCATTCTCAAGAGCCAAAATAGACAGGGCAAACGTTATATATAGTCCAAACTTGTGTGTATTATTTTGACACAATTTTCTAGGGATATAAATAAGGTATATATATATATATATAGGGGAATGCTAATGTACTCCCACCTATTTTTAAGTGGGAATATGTTAGTAACCTATACCAAAATTTTAGGACAAAAAAATTACTCATTTATTTTGATTTGGTTAATTCGTACAAAGGATATTATAGTAATTTAATTAAATTTTAAATAAAAATTAAATATTTTCTCTCTTTTATTAACTTCATACTCTAAGTCATTTATCTCTCCTATTAAATTTCTTCTCCTACTCATTTCTCTTTTTTATTAAATTCTTTCTCTAACATATTTATCTCTCTCCTATTAAATTCCTTCTTTAACTCATTTCTCTCTCATCTCTCATGATGTCTCTCCCTTTTTCTCTGAACAAACAAAAATTAATTAATTAGAAAAAATAAATGAATTGGAGAATGAAATTAATAAGAGAGAGAAAATATTTTATTTTTATTTAAAATTAAAAATTACTATAATATCCTTTGTAGGAATTAACCAAATCAAAATAAATGAGTGATTTTTTTGTCCTAAAATTTTGGGGAATGCTAATGTACTCCCACCTATATTTTAGTGGGAGTATGTTAGCAACCTACACCAAAACCTTTGTTTTTCAATGGCCCACTTAAAAACATGTGATCATCGAAGCCAAACCTTGCTTTGCAGTGTGACGATAGGGTTCTTGTCCTCATCAAATAAGATATATCGTCCATGGATCGAGAATGAAGGCTTTTCAAGGTTGAAAATGATGTTGTTGTGCATGTTTTTGACACAAAATTTATCGGGAAAGCCCAATTTCTTCACCGTTCTAACAATCTCCAGTATGATTGGAAATGGACTACAATACTTGGACTCAATGATAGTGGTCGTTGGACTTATTGTTGAAGCTAGTCGAGGCCCAATAAAGAAATGAAGAATAAACATAAATATATAGGAATGTAGGAAATGTGAGAAATTTTATAAATAACTCGAGAATATATTTTTGGCATGACTCAAGATCACGTAAATACAAACATTCAAACACAATTTAATGTATAAAATTTAACTTGTAATTTGTGTACCTTGTCTGAAGCTTGAATCCATGCCTTGAGTCTTGATCCAAATCCATAAATAAGAGAATAAAAGAAAATTATTATTTGGTTGATAGTTATTGTTTTCTCTCAAGGTCTAATAATTTTAGGGAAAAGATCAACAAGTATATGAAAGTTGTCCACCCAATACATGTAGTTAATTCTACATATAAATATGGTTAATTTTATTTAATTTTGTTCAGGATTAAAAATAAATAAATTCAAATTTTATGAAGAGGAGTTCACTTACTAAGTCTACTTTCACTTTATAAATCATGTTATATATTAAATTTTAATGATCTAACCGTTTAATTAAAAGTTCTTAATGCATGAATCAAGTCTGCAAATTTTTAAACCATTAATTCAAATTGACAGATAATCATAAAAATATTTTATATATTGATTTAAATCGATGAAATGGAATATCAAGTAATTTTAAAAGTTTTTAAAAATTTGTAGACTTGATATATACATTAAAAAAATTTAATTTAACGGTTGATATATAACATGAATTATTGAAAGAAAAAAATTTAGGTAAATTTACTCTTATTAAAGCAAGTGAATCTCTCTCTCTCTCTCTCTCTCTCTCTCTCTCTCTCTCTATAT